GATAGTATTTATTTTTTGATAATCAACACAAAATCTTTTCTTTCTATTCTTTTTGGAGATTATAACAATAAGTAAAGTTCAAGAACTAGTTGAGAGTCAAATAATATTAGCTTTTAATATTCTTTGGATTTCTTCTAATATAAATAATTAATTTGGAAGGATAGTTCTGTAAGAGTATTATTTAATTAATGATTCATTTCCAGTATATATTTCATATTGAATTAAATTACTTCAGCCAAGTTCATGTAATTCAGTTACAAAGATATCAGTATTATTTTCTAATAGTTAAGTAAGAAGCCTTTCTTATTTAGCAATTAATTTTTGTTATTCAATAATTTTTTCTTCTTGTTCTTGTTCTAAAAAATAAATATAAGCTTCTTAATGATTAGTGGATCCAAATTCAGTTATTTCTTGACTAGATTGTCCTAATTCCTCTCTAGTAGAAACTGATTTAAGTTAATTAACAGATATAAGTTGTAGAAATAGAAGTTGAGTAATTTTCTGATCTGATTCAATAATATAATCATCTTCTGAATCATTTTGAATGATAATATTGATATTTCCAGTATATTCAGAATTAATAGTTCTATCTTTAATATTGATTTCTTATTTTGCAAGAGATAAGTGAGATATTACTTAACATATAACTCCTACAGAAATTTCTATGATAATATATATATTTACTAATATAATTTAATATAAGAGAATTCTAATTACTTCTTTTCCAGTATAATAAACATCATATTCAACATCAGTAGAATGTGCTTTTTCTGATAATTTTCCTTTATCTTAATTATTATAAACTTTGATTATATAGTAATTATTATTTTGTTTTATAGAAATATTCTTTAAATAATTATTAAATTATTATGAAAGTTCATTAAGAGCTTAATAAATAATATTGAATCTTTCATATATTTCATTCAATTTAAGTTGAAAAGACTGAATTAAAATAGAAATAAAGCTGATTTCTTTAATTAATTCATTTATTACTGCTTCTTTTGAAATTATTCCAAAGTCATAGGACATTTTTCTTTATTTAATTTAACTAGAAGTTCAGATTATACATAATTATCATATTTATCATTATTATAAGAGATTAAATATTCTTGACAGAGTTTTACATTAATATAATCCAAGCAAGCAAGCTGTTATTTTTGATTAGAGCTAAGTTATTGATAGATATATTAAAATATTTCAGTAGCAGAGGTTTTTATAGAACTTTCATAAATAATTTCATGAATAAAGTCATCTTCATATATAAAGTGAAATAGGATTGCTTTGCCAATTTCATTATATTCTTCATAAATTTCTAATAGTATTTTTCTTTCTCTAAGCTTATTAATCATTTTGGTATTTTTTCTTCATCCTCTATGATTAAATCAATAAACATATTGATATTCATAAGTACAAAAGTATTTCTTTTCATAACTTTCAGTAACAAATATTTTTCTAGATTTATTATATTCATCACATTAAGAACAAGTAGAAAGATTTAATTATTTTTCTCTAATGCAATTATCACAGGCAGTTGTTTTTTTTCTATTCATTTTGAAATATGTTCCAATATAGTATTTGTCTATATATTTTTCACATTCACAGTATCTTTCAATTTGAGAATTAGAATGAATTTGTTAGATAGCAGATTGATATATATTAAAGCTTTTCTTAATTCTTTTGTTAACAAAGAGTTTTTATTCAACTTTATCAGTCCAATTTTCATTAGTTTTGAATTTAGCATGGAAGAGTTTATGAATTTTGATTATTATCCAATCAGTAAGATCATTATAGCATTAGTGATATTAATGATCAGACATAAAGAGATTTTTATGGCATCAGTATTGATTATTTGGTCCTTGCCAGTTAAATAACTATCAATTATTCTAATTACATGGTTGAGTAAACTTCTTATCAAGTCATTTGAAGTTTTTCCAAGTATATTTCTTCTATTTAATTTTAATTCCTTCTTGATAAGCTTGTATTTCATGAATTCTTTTAATACTTTGAATAATTTGAAATGGAATTTCTTCAAAATTAACATCTTTTAATCTTCAGCTTGAAGTTTTAACAGGGGTCCAACCTTTTTTAATAATGATTTCAACACTATCATCATCTTGGAATTCTTATTATTTAGAGGTTACAGTATTCCAGTTATCATGTTGCCACATAAGGAAAGTCTTCTTTTTCAAGTATTATTTCTCAAATTCACTTTCAGAATCTTCTTCAAATTCTTCTTCTTCAAAGCTTATATCTTTAAATATTAGTTCTTCTCTATCATTATAGATAAATTTAATAGGTACTTTTCCTTTTTGATCATTATATTCAAAAGTGAGTAATTCTTTTCTGATATCAATATTAGCTTTAATTTTGTTTAAAAAGTTTATATTAATAATTACTGAGTATATTTTTGCTTTAGTAATATCTACTTCAGTAGGAATCACAATTCTATTAATATTCAAAAATAGGTTATTAATAACTCCAAGGAGTTATTTAGATATACCGATTTATTTTTTTTTGCATTCTGAGCTTTGATCTCAATAATTATAGCCTCAATACTCAAGACAATCTGGCTGTTCCGAACTAAGGTGCTTTAATTTTACTATATGGGCTTCAAAATCAGCGTCATCTTTTGGCAATCTCAGTCTCATAATCTTAACATTCTCAGCCTCAAGCTCAGTGATACGCTGTTTCAATACTTCAAGTTCGGATAACATGATTATTAATATTGTGTTTTATACGATAGCAAATTTTCAATGTTATGTGGCAAATGTGAAAACGTTTTATTAATGCATGAAAAAATAAATACAATTTGAGACGTAACCCGTAATACATGACGTCTATGCTATTATACATGATTATTTTTTCTTGATTTTTTCCTCCACACGACGCTTCTCAGTCGCGGGTTCTTCATTAGCCGTTACCCTATCCTTCACATTCTTACGCAGTTCGGTTGAATCCTTGAGAACGTCTTCCATCAATGAAATTCGATACTCGGTCCTGCTCGTACTATAGATGCCCTCGGTGCTATGCATGATAAAGTACCATTCCGTGGCTGTCGTGACGATACCGTAAACGTACTCATACTCAGAGTCGAATGCCACGTCTGCCTTCCTTTTTTCCTTCTACATGCATCCAGGCAAGCGGTTTAGTATGTCTATCCTATCGTCTACGGTGTAAAAATATTTAACGCCACTACCTCACATGAACTTTGACATTGCATCAGGTTCTGGGCCACACCTTTCCCCGGCCGGTTTTGCTTCCCTTCGGTTATGCATATTATTTCTTCGAGCAAATCATCCAGTATTTTCTTGATTGCATAATCGACACGGCCGGAGCTTTCTTTCTGTACCAATTATTGACAATTGAGGCGAGATAATCAAACCATCGAGGCTGACAGCTGTATGGAGAATTATTGAAATATATTCACAGCGCATAGCCTCGTTGTTATCTACAACCGGCCCCATATTTTTTATCCTGCGGAGTATATATCGTCAACACAAAGCTTAAACTCCGCTGAATTTTCGTCTACGGGGTGGGTGGCTGAGACGAATTGACGAGCTTCGTGACGAAAAAAAGGTTGGAATTATAACATAACTTACCCAATTCGAACTGAGGGATGTTCGTTATACTATTGCTTCGTATACCATATTTTTCCAACACTTCCTCCAGACTACGATAATATGTCGAGAAGGCCCTCAGCTTCTTTTCTTTGCACTCCTTAGCGAAGTCCGCAAGCCTTGTTGCAGGTACGCCTGACATTCAGCTTTTCTTCGGTTAACTTGAGAAAGCCACGACCATTAACTCTTTGCTTGCGAATTATTTCTAAGTCCTCCTCAAGTTCCAAGTCCTCTTCCTTACTCAAGAAGTCAACATGCTCCTTTGTTTTATATTTTTTAATTTCTTCCGCCAGCGTAGCCGAGTCATTTCCAGTAGCAATAACGGAAATAGAGGCAAATTTGATGTCGCCGCCACAATAAGTGGCGAAAAAGAATGTTCTCTTCGACACTGTCCCCGCTGTCGGTTCGGTTTCATTCTTTCTGTCCAATATCGATATAGCAAGTAAAGGCTCATGAAATAAGTCATCAAAGACAAACGGCATGAGGTAGAGGCGGGTGTGTTAGTTTCAGATGACATAGAGGAACAAAAGTTTCAATAAACCAAATTTTCAACTTTATTTTTTATAATGCACACCACATTCTTCTTTCAGTTAATTTGTCAATTCATGCAAAAATTCAGATGATCGATCTGAATTTTGTTTGTATGCGAGTTGTAATACTCTGTCAAAAGCAATGGTATGAAAATTGAATATTTGCTTAGTTTACGCGTATTACGTTAGTCTTTGAGGCATTACTGTTGTTTGTAACATTATGCTGCCGATTTTCTACGCGTTCCATTGTTGAAATATAGTTACCTCTTTCATTATTAAATACGGCCCAGGGGCATCCCATGGTAACTTCGAATAGCTTCATTTGAGCACATAACGAACTATTATTGAATTATTTTATGTACAGCTGGTAGAACTAAAAAATGGCGAAACTTTTAATGGACATTTGGTTAATTGTGATAACTGGATGAACTTGACGCTGCGTGAAGTGATACAGACATCACCGGTAATTTTGCGATGGTGGTATTATGAATGACGATTTTTATTCATATTTGTTGTAATGACATGCGTTTAGGAAGGTGATCGATTTTGGCGTTTACCAGAGTGTTATATTCGAGGAAATACGGTAGTTAAAATTTATAGCTATATTTTTGTTCGAAAATAAGAAAAGATGCATAATTTGAATTCTTTGATTTTTTGATAATAGATAAAGTATCTTCGTGTTCCCGATGAGGTGAGCTATTTTTTATTTGATAATTTTGAGGTGCTCTACTAAGAAAATCTTATTTACTTTTGTTTTTTTAGATTATTGAAATGGTCAAAGAAGATGCTATAAGACAACGACAAACTACTGGTGGTACTGGTCGTGGACGTACGTTGTTTTCCTTCCTTTATCAATTTATTATGTGCGTGTTTTTTTATGACATTGACTTTAATTCATCCTTTGACGATAATCGATTAAGGCGGTGGACAACGAGGTGGCGGCGGTGGACGAGGTTTGCCCTTTTTTTTCTCTTTATCATAGGATTTCGATCTCTTACGTAATTAAAATAATAATTTTTTTTTGCCGGAAATTTTATGTGATAAGGAGGAGGCAGAGGAAATGCAAATCGTGGAGGAGGTGGTGGTGGTCGAGGTAAAATATAAAAAATTTCCTTTATATCATCCAAATAGTTTCATTCATCCATTGATTTTATTAAAGGAGGACCACGCGGAGATCGATCACGCCGTGGAGGTTAAGTACATAGCTTAGGTCTATGATGTTAGATGCAAATAGATTCACATACACAGTGCATAATTTGGCACGTAGACTCAACATACATTCGCTACATATTAATGAAACGCGATTTTTTATTGAGTAAATCGACCAAAATGCATGCATCAAATAAGCGTGTTTGCAGTAATGAATACGTTTAGCTATTTTAAAAAATTTTTATTTTTCGTTTCGTTGATTTTAAATAGCTAAACGTATTAATAAAGAACATATTGTTATGTTCCTGGTCTTTTATATCTTACCGATCAAAATTTTCAGCACCTGAAATATCACGTGTATTACTGGGTCTGTTACTTTAAACTAATAAAGAATAAATAAATCTTACAAATTGGTGGATTATTTTACTCTGCTATAATGGGGGTGGTTTATGCGGTATTTTTGATTTGCTGAATTCATCATGCAAAATTACATGATTTTTTCATACAAATAATTTAGCATTACATATAATACTGATTTTAATTAACCGTCGAAAACCTGACATATAATCACGCGTCTTTGTTAATCCCTTTAACTCTTATTTAAGAAATTTACTCTTGAATATTCCCAATTAGAGAAAGATCATTACCCGTTCGCAAAGGAAATATGGTTATTGGATTCTCAGAAAGATATTTACGCTTTGACAAAAATGCAATACAAATAATAATGTGATAGTCGTATCCGTACCTACATCTATATCTATATATGATGAAAGAAACTAATAAAATATGCATGAAAAAATGTTTGATCTCAAAGTTTGGATTGATTCCATAACTAATTTACTCCAGTTGAAATCGTTAATCAGTCCGTAAGTTCTAATTAGTTTTTTATTTATATTTATAGAAGACAATTTCTCCGTCGTCCTCAATAAATTTACATGTATTATGAGCTCGCCAAAGTGCTTTGAATATTGGTGTGTCATCAGATAAGTAGTATTTACCTAATACTTTCGCGAGATGTTTTGTTGCCTCTTCAGCGTGATAGAATGGCATCTCGCTAAAATAATGGTGTGCTACGTGTGTTGAAGTAATTTGGTGGAAGATGTTGTCTAGGAATCCGAAATGTCGATCGACTGAAGTTATAAGAGGAAATTTAATTATCAAAATCATGTTATTGATAAAAACACACAAGATACAGACAGACAGACAGACAGAGACATACCTGTACTAGCAGCACCTCGAACAAAATCCCATTGCCCATCTCGATAAAAGGGTACCTTTGGATCGGTATGTTGCAAATAAGTGATCATCACCAGCCAGTGATTCACAATCAAATACGGTATAAAATAAAATTTTACAACGGTGAGAAATGAAAACGTAAACGAAAGATATGCTAGCGCTGATATGGCAATGATAATCCCAATATCAGAGACCACCACATCGGTATACTGATTTGGATTGAACATTGGCGCCGACGGATTATAATGATTTATCCACTTGGTTTCCGAGTTTGGATACGCTCTACTGGAGGCATTTGTTGTCAGGTAAAGCGGCCAACCAGCTAACTGTTGTCCAATTAGATTCAGTAGTGTGTAGATTGGCGCATCTTGAAATATGTGATCATCGTCATCATTATCATCTTTTCTTGGTGGAAGTCCGCGTTGTGATCGAGTTTTCGGGACAAATACTTGATCTTTATGCACGTTCGCTGTATTTTTGTGATGTTGTGAGTGAGTAATTCGCCATGAGTGAAAAGGAACAAGAAGCGCCGAGTGGAGTATAAACCCAACAATGTTATTTATAGTTCTACTTGGTGAGAATGAACGATGTCCACACTCGTGAGCAAGTACCCAAACGCCAGTGGCATATGCACCCGCGAAAAACCAATAAGTTGGCCATGCAATTAATTGTAGCACTCTTGGTAATAAAGAATCGATGAAAGTCGCGCCATACACTAATATGCCAATTATTGAGAGATCTTTTAATAGATAACTCAGAGATCGTAACGTGCTTCTCTTAAAGCAATGTGGAGGAATTGCCTGACGAATCTCTTTGATTGTTAAATTTGTTGGGATGTAATTGCGTTCGATTTTTTCGGTTGTGTTTGGTTTATTATGCTGTTGTTTTATTGATTCTATTTCAGTTGTTGAACGATAGACGAGTTCAGAGTCTTCGGTTTTTGGAGGTGCCATGTTTATTATAAATAAATTATTAAGAAAAATAAATTAAAGGTTAAAAAGAATCCCAATTATAACTCCTCTGCTGTTAAATATCAAAATCAAAACTTTTTCTATGCTACCTTATATAATTCAAACAATTTATTTTTGGGGAACCACTCAACTGCTCAAGGATCTTATTGTTTTATGCTTATTAGGTGCAGCGTAGGATGTTGGGGCGGATTTTCACTTTCATTATAAATATGTTGTGCAAATTTTTTTTTTTTGGATGATACACTAATCCAAAAACGATTTTCAAAGTCTTTTTGACACTTATGAGTTTTTGTTTCACAAAGGAATGGCGCGATTCATTTCACAAATGCACATGGTTTGAATTGATTGTCGATAATTCTTCGTTTTTTTATTATGCATCTTTGTTTTTTTCCTTAACTAATTATATTGATTCAATGGCATGTGCTATTTCGTTTTTTTCGTAAAAAAAAATATTGGGGATGATAGTTTTCTGGGGTTGATGAACACGTACGGGACGATCGCCTATCTCGTAATTTATAAAAGTCTGGTTTTTACCATTTTCTAAGGTCGAACGAGAGATGCCTATCAGTCAATGCTAATTATCACATTTTTCGTCTTTATCCAGTTTTCTAGAGAACAATATATTACATGATTAAACTATTACCGCATTATCTCATCATCTATCATACTCATCAAGGGAGTGACAGATATTACGTCAACCCCCTTATAACTTCCCGTGTCGTGTGTGATAAATTCCCGTGAATCGGGGAACATCAGTAGCACAACGTTAAAAGTAGGGAGGCATCGCATCGATAGCTTTTAAAAAAACGTGGCAACGGGTAACCACGTGGCCTTCGCAGAATTTTTGATAAAATACGATTTATGTTACACATGTAACTGGCCATTAAATACATTAGTTTTCTCTACAAGCAGAGGATAAGAGCAGGAAACAAATGGATACACGTACCGAAATCGCTCAAATATTTCACGGAACCTTTATACATTCGGTTTCCTTAGATAAGTTGGAAGTTATAAAGAATGGGTTAATGGGTGTAGACACACACGGTAGCATTGCATTTGTTGAGCGAGAGGTTGATGTTTCGAAGATTCAGGAAGTTTTAGCGAAGTTGGGAGTAGAAGGCGAAGAGAAGGTAATGGAATGATTTGTTTCTTTCACTTTTAGTTTCTTGATAAATCCTATGATAATGACAATGATTTCAAAAAAAGATAAGCTTTTTAACAAAGGGTCAATTTCTATTGCCTGGTTTCATTGACACGCACACCCATGCAGCACAATATCCAAACGCTGGCACAGGGATGGACCTACCGTTGCTCCAATGGCTAGACGAATACACCTTTCCACTAGAATCTTCATTTTCTATGCTTTCGTACGCTCAGAAAATATACCCGATAGTCGTGGATCAATTATTACTCAACGGCACAACCACTGCCGTATACTTTGCAACCATTCATCTTGAATCGAGTAAATATCTTGCGCAGGTCGCATTCGAGAAAGGGCAGCGCGCATTCGTGGGAAAAGTGAATATGGATTGTAATGCGCCTAAAAGTTTGATTGAAAGTGTGGAAGAGAGTATCCAAGAAACTGAATCTTTTGTTCAATATACGTTAAGTTTGGAGTCTAATGCAAATAAGGTCGATGAACACGAGAAAAAGGGTACACGATTAGTGACTCCAATTTTAACTCCGAGGTTTGCTGTGTCATGTACCTCGAAAATGCTGGAAGCTGTGGGTAATCTTGCGAAAAAGTATGATGATATACCGATTCAATCACATTTATCGGAGAATCGAGAAGAGATTGCATTTGTCCAGAAGCTGTTTCCCGACATTGAGAATTATACAAAGATATATGACGTGCATGGGTTATTAAATGATAGATCTATTATGGCTCATGGAATTCACTTATCCGAGTCGGAACGAGCATTGATCAAAGAACGGAACGCAGGCATATCACATTGTCCAAATTCCAATTTCACTATTTTATCAGGTGTTTGTAATGTACGTCAGTTACTAAATGATGGGATAAAAGTTGGATTAGGGACTGACATGAGTGGTGGTTCGGCGAAAAGTATACTGAATGCCGTACAGAGTGCAAGTATCGCTAGTCGAGTGATCTCCATGTCTAGCAGTAACAACGAAACAAAGAAACATCTCTCGCTACCTGAACTCGTGTATCTTGCTACAATGGGCGGAGCACAGCTACTTAATCTCGAAAACGTAATTGGAAATTTTCAAGTTGGAAAAGAATTCGATGCTTTGTTAGTCGACACTTCCACTTCGATTGATCCTGCTCCCTTTCATGCTTTTGAAGGAATTGATGATAATGATGTATTGAGGATATTTGAAAAATTTATGTTTTTGGGAGATGAAAGAAATTTGAGAGCTGTTTACGTTAAAGGACGAATGGTTTCTGGTTTTGAGTTTATTGAGAATAAAAATAATAAGAATAATAATAGTAGTAGTAGTAGTAGTAGTAGTAATAGTAGTAGTGGAGATTATGGTGCTGCTATCCTAAAGAAAGTCCATGAGTATAAGAATAGTGGAAGGTGTCCGGTTTGTAATAGTGAAAATCAAATTGCTAATCTTTAATATAGTGATGCATATTTTTATTTTTACGTTTCAACGTCAATAATAAGGTATTGTTGACATTATATTGTCCACTTGAAAATGTGTTCGGTTATTACCTTGCTATAACGACGTTAAAGATTAAATATAATAAAACTTGTGTTCAAATCCCAATTTATAATAAATTTACTGTTTATTAGTAATCTCTCGGACACGTTTGTAAAAGTACTTACCAAAATAGGTAATAACCTTAAGTGAAAATGTGCAGTTAAAATTTCGTAAAACCTTTTATCGTTAAATTCGATCGTGTGATTGATCAAGAAAAAAAAAGATATATAAAGGCTAACTTATTGGAAGAAGTGTCTGCTTCTGCTCTCTTTCCCTTTGATAAATACTAATAAAACAGTTCAAAAAGAAAAATGGAGGCTAAAGTTATCGAGAAAGAAGTTGATCCTATTAACAATAAGGAAGTATCAAATGTGACCAATGTTCTTGATTTTTTATATATTTGTCAAAAACTCAAGGTCGGTATGGAATCTCCATATAAATCGATTATTTGATTTTTCAGTATACAAAAAAAAAATAAATTTTTTTTAAATAAAGCAAACGAAACGCACTGGATGGTTGAATCATGGAATCAAAAATCCGGAATCGATTTCTGATCACATGCATCGAATGTCTATATTAGCCTTATTGTGTAATGATGATTCTCTGGATCGTGATCGGTTCGTGTATATTGAAGGATTAGAGTTTTAATCTGGTTTATTTAATTCGGTGACCTTTTCTAGTTGTGTCAAAATGACTGTCGTACATGATTTGGCAGAGAGCAAAGTGGTATTTGAACGTTAATAACAATTTGATAAAGATTTTTTTACCATTCATGAGCATACTTAAAATTTGAAAACTATATAGGGAGATATCACTCCATTGGATGGGATTAGTAAAGAAGAGAAACATCGATTGGAAGAGGTATGATGTAAATGAACGCAAGTTTAACTTTACAATCCTCAAGATCATTATTTTCCGTAATTTAGGGAGCAATGCGCCATCTATGCACAGATCTATTAGGCAACACTCCACAATCAAAAGAGATCTTTGAGTTATGGCAAGAGTACGAGAATGCGGAAACAGCCGAGGCTTTATTCGTCAAAGATCTGGATAAATTTGAGATGTTATTGCAGGCTTTCGAGTATGAAAAATGTGAGTTAGAGTTGTATTTTGGTTGAGCATTTTGTTTCCGCCTATGTAATGATTATTCTTGTTTCCATACACATTCTTCATTCTTCATTCTCATATAGCTGATAAAAAAGATCTGACGGAATTTTTCGAATCAGCCAGTAACAAGATTCAACATCCGCTAGTAAAGCGATGGGCAAACGAGTTGTACGTGCAGCGTGAAGAGTATAAGAAAAAACAAAATCATTGGGTGTTGAATCAACAGATAATTAATTAGTAAAAAGACGAGCGTAATATGGCATTTGGTTACCATTAGTATTAAATAAAAGCTCGCTAACTTTTTAGCTTATCAATATGTTATTCGTGTACAAAAACTTAAATCATTGTCAATAAATAATAAAATAATAAAGCATATTTAATCGAATAGTTTTTACTTCGATCAAATTGAAAAACCATAAACCTATCAAAAATTTTCATTCCCCAACCACCACCATACTCTCACTACCATTAGTCGGCTCAATACTATCATTATCGCCGTTGGTCGGCTCCATATTATCACCACGCCGTTCACATCTAGCTTGATGCACATGATACGTGTTGTTGTTAAACACACCAGTCGTTGATTTCGATTTTAATTATGGGAATTATTACCATCGTCATCACCCATTCTATTACGTGGTGGGCGAATTAGCCAGACACATATGAAAAACAAGAGTATTATGAAGGGCCATCCCTCTTTAGCCTTGTTCCGTATTATGACGGACCAGCTTGGTTTTGGTTTTGGTTTTGGTTTGAATAAGCGTATTATTGAGTTCCGTATTTTGACGGGCCAGCTTGGTTCTGGTTTTTGTTTAGTCTTGAAGCATCTTGGTATTATTGAGTCCATTTTATTGTTGCTATGTTTTTAGTTGCTGGACTGTGCACTTTTTATTACCTTAATTATCTAATCTAATCTTGATATCATGAGAACAAATATCTTAATAAAAAAGTCCGTTAAGAAGCTTTTTTCTAAGAAACACTCGATACAAGATTTTGATTGGACCTGAGAGTTTAACTTTACGATTCAAAATCATTATTTTTCCTAATTTTAGGAAGCAATGCGTCAGATCTATCAGGCAACACTACATAATCAAGAGAGAATTGCAAGAATACGAGAATGCGGAAACAGTCGAGACTTTATTGAAACAAATTGTTATAACTCCCACATTTTTCATACTACTAATAATGATTAATGACGAGCGTAATATGGTATTTGGTTACCATTAGTATTAAAAAACCCAGATTAAAAGCCCGCACATTTTTATCAATGTTATTCGTGTGCAAAATTTATCATTTTCAATATATAATAAAGCAGTTTCAATCGAGATAATTCGATCAAATTGAAAAAACCATAAACCTATCAAAAATTTTCATTCCCCCCAACTAACACCATGCTCTCATTACCATTAGTCGGCTCAACACTATCATTAACGCCGTTGGTTGGCTCTATATTACCACCACACCGTTCACATCTAGGTTGATGCATATAATACGTGTAGTTGTAGACGATGCGAGGATGTCTAAACCAATCAATCCAAGATTCTCGTTCAACCACTAGTCGTCGAGTTCGATTTTGATTATTAACATTACTATTATCATCGCCGATGTTGTCAGGAGGTGGGTTAATACGTAGTCGGCGAATTAACCATTGGGGACGATACAAGACATATGTCAGCGTCGCACCTAAGCCGCCATTTACGCAACCTACGAAAAGCCAGAATATTATAACGGGCCAGGTTGAATTTGAGCGTCCACTTGGTGGTCCACTTGGTGGTCCTGTGAAAACACTTGTTATTGAGTTCCATGATACCATTGTTGTTATGTTTGTTTAAAAATTGGTTGATTGATTGTCGCTTTATAAGTTTGTTATCTTTTTTATCTAATCTAATCTAATCTCCATATCGTGAGAACTTTATGTTGACATATTTTGGGCATGATCAACAAATATTTTATATATTTTATATAAAGAAACTCGATAAGTTTTTGAGTTTTAACTTTATTATTTAAGAAGCAATGTATCATTTATGCACAGATCTATTTAGGCAACACCCCAGAATCAAAGAGATCTTTGAGGCTTTATTCGTAGAAATTTGTGATGTTTATTACAGGCTTTCGATATGAACAATGAGTTATACTTGAGCAATTTGTTTCTATTAGTAATGATTATATAACTGAAATCAGTCAGTAACATCCTTTAGTAAAGCGATGGTAAACTTGTTGCACGTGCAGCGTGAAGGATACAAGAAAAAAGAAAGTTATTGGGAGTTGTATCAACAGATAAATTAATTAGTAAAAAGACGAGTGTAATATGGTAGAGATGCTATCATTTATATTAAAAAAACCAGATTAATAGTTTTGATTCGTTCGCACACTTTATCGTGTGCAAAAATTATCATTTTCAATATATAATAGAATAGATTTAATCGAGATAGTCTTTTACTTCGATCAAATTGAAAAGCCATAACCCATCACTCCCCCAAACCAATATCATACTCTTATTATCATTAGTCGGCTGGATTATCGTTAGCACCCTCCATATTACCATCACACCGTTCACATCTAGCTTGATGCGTATGATACGTGATGTTGTAGATGGTGCGAGGACGATACAAGACGTATATCAGCGTCGTACCTATGCCACCTACGTAGCCTAAGAAAAGCAAGAGTATTATGGCGAGCCAGCTTGGTTTTGGTTCTGGTTTGGTGTTAAGAAATAGATTGAGTAGCCGCCTAAGTAGCTTCATTATTTGTTGTTTTTTTTTTAGTTGCTGGTCTGTTGCTTTTTATCACATTGATTATCTAATCTAATCTTGATATCGTGAGAACCGGTATATATCAATGTTCTCACTGTTCTCAGAGAACATCACAGTATTTTTGAGAACATTTGGCTATAAAAATGTTCTTTTATTAGAGAACAATTTGATCAGAAATCATGCCCGATAAAAAATTTTTTTGCTTAAATTTAAGAACATTACTTTTTGCGAACAAAATCTAAAAAAATTTTCGTTCATTGAATTTTATACGTTGACATATTTTTGGGCATGATCAACAAATAAAATAAAAAGTCCCATTACAAAAGCTCGTTATATTAAGAAACTCTCGATACAAGATTTTGATTGGACCTGAGAGTCTCTTGTAATTTTTAAAATATACAGTAAACCTCGTTAAGTCAAACCCTCCTATAAAACGAAATCCTCTTTACATTGACAGATTTAGCTGCAACAATGTATAAAGAGAAGAATTTCTTTAAGTAGAAAGTCTCTCTTAGAGTCTAACACCCGCAAACAGATTGTTTGTTTATTGATAAAAAATATATCGACATTTGATAGGTTGAATATTTAAGAATTAACTTGCTTTATATGGCTATTCTTGTATAATTCCGAATAAAACGATTACGCCGAGATGACGATTCTCTCGTGACAGATAAATTTTGAGTAATTAATTATTAATTAATTAACTATTGTCACTTTCTTATCCCTTCTTGTTATTATTCTAAACGTCAGTCCTTTGTCTTGTGTGTTGTAGTTATTAACCAAAAAAAACTTATACACAGTTTCCCAAAATAAAGATTACGGTGAGGTTAGTATTTTTAAAAAACGGGTTTTTACAAAGAACACATTCGAAAACGATAAAGCCAATTCCTCGCGAAACATTTACCAATGACCACGAAAATAAAAGTTCTGTTACGAAGTTTCTTTTTTATGAAAATTTTCCATCTGTCTAGAACCACACGAAAACTCTTCCGCAGAAAACTCGCGTCTAACGTTGGGTTCACGTGACAATAAAAAAAAGGGTCTGAAGGATCTGACGTGTCAAGACTGTCCAATAAATATTATACAATCGCGTCTCAATTAAACTAGTTGTACCAGAAAAATTCCTAGATCACGCGAATTTTAAGATGTAAACCAATCATAGCTTGTATCTCGAGATTCTGCCAATGGGAAACTATGAAACTATTCTGTTTGCTTTATTAAAAAAATCTTCCTTGCGAAATTTTATTTATAATCCGATATAATTTCATGTAACTCTGACTCTACCTAAACTGTAAGGTATTAATATTTTATGTCGTGTGATTTGATTGGTTTACCCCTTAAAAAAATCACGTTATCTAGGCCATAACTAGTCTATACCCCAATTAAACTGAACCCTCTTACACAACAAGAGATTGTTTACAATGGCTAAAGGGAAAGCAAAAAGTGCGAGTTCCGCCGAGACGAATGGACAACAGCTCAATGTCGAGATTAAGGACTCTTCCGAGGTGGCTTTTATTGTTGCCTTTTGCGAGAAATTTAAATCAGTCTTGAGAAGCCTTTCGTTTTGGACTGAGGTTAGTTCTTATTCTTTTCTTCCTTCTCGGCATACACGTAAAGGCGCGTTCATAATCCAAAATTCCATCATATCTTCTAGGATTTCGAAGAAGCTTTGCAAACTCACGAAGAATCAGAACTACTGGAAAAAATGATTTGCGTGTTTCTAACAAACTTCTTGAATCGAAGGAAACTAATCGAGTAAGTTATGCATAACTTCTTACATCAAGGCGTTATCTCGCTTAAATACCATTGTGATGATTCAATCTGCTTCTATTCCATAAACAGAACGAGCAACTATCAGGCGCTTCTTTCGACAGCTATCGATCAGCATATCGAACAAAACGATCAAAGTTTCTATCTCGATCACAACCCACTAAAACATCGTGACGGAAAAATAAATTTCTTCGCATTGGATACAAAAGACAAGGTAGATAGATAGCTGTATAAAGAGCATGTATATACTTTAAGTAAGCAAATATCCTGGATATTAAACGTTTTGCATAAACAGATTTCGATCTTGCGTTGTCTTGTTAACTGGCAATTACAAGAATCAGAAGTCGTTCGAAAATTAATCCTTGACTCATACAAGCGTCATAAAAAGACTCACGAAAATCCTTTAGAATACGAAATAATCGGTGAGGATAATAAAAATGCAAAATATTATCATATCAATAGTAAGTTTCTTATTCCTTGTCCTTAGGTGATTATCTTTCACTCCAAGTAACCTAATTTATATTTGACGTTCGATAAATACAGCGAGGATCTATCGCGAAAAATTACCAAGAACTGGTACCAATTTCACAAGTAAAAACGTAAAGTGGGAAGCTGTGACGACTAATTTGGAGGAAGTGCAAGCGTTAGTGAGCAGTCTTAACCCTAAACGCGCTAAAGAAAAGGGGTTGTATGCCGCTATTCTTGAAAAAGTAATGCCAGAAGTTGAGAATCGGTATAAGGTTCGATATCTTGTTATCTTTCTCGAAATTCCATTTTCTCTTCATACTTTAGGTTTACTCATTTATTGATTGATTTGTAGGTTAAGGAAAAACAAGAAAATCTGCAGAAACGGAAAGCGGCAAAAGCAGAATGGATTGAAGTAATGCGAACTGATGCCATTTCTACACGAACGCGTGCAGCAAGTCGTAAAGCAGAAGGTATCGATACACCTGTAATTAGTTATCGTGAGGATGATTATGATTACGGTAGATACGAAGGATTTGCACCATATCCGAATGCCGGCCGCAAAAAAACTTCCCGAAGTCTTCGACAAGCCGGAGACAGTCGATCTTCATCTGATATTGGCACACCGAACAATACGTCCACACAAACTTCCTTACCAAAAAATGGACGCATGACACGATCAAGGTTTCGACTCTTAAGTCTTAATAACGTGGACTCGTCGAACATAAGTTTAACTGATAGCAATACTTCATTCAACACTATTGACTTCACCACAAATGGTCATATAATAAACAATGAAAATGGTACTCAGAATGGAGCTATGATCGCTTCTGGTTCAACCACGCCTATAATAAATTATCATGGTGCCGACATCGACACGTCTGATATTGAAATGACAGAGAAAACCGAATATACTTTTGCAAATTCTGGCGAATTATTGGAACTAACCACCGGTACTTCCTCCGACTCGAACACTGAAGCAATCACAAACACACCACAAGACTATGAAATGGCATTAAACGATGAGGAACGAAGTATTGACACACTTGGAAAGGAAGCATCATTCGCTTCAACATGCGGCGGATCTGTCATGTCTATTTCTTCGATCACGACCCCGACCAACGTTTTCCGTGATGTGCAAGAAATGTCTGTCGACATTTAATTTTTATCAAGAACGATCAAAATAATTCTCTGCGAGAATTTCCATATTTCTCTTCTCTTCTCTTATAAATGAAAAATCTAATTAATAATTGATAGTTTTCTAAATGTGCTGCGGCCATTTTATGTATATATTTACATATACGATATTATTATAATAACGATGATATTGATATGATGGTTTTTAGATGCGTGAGGTTTAGTTGTCACACATTAATGATGCATTATTATTTTTTTGTTGCATTTGCCTTTGTCTGTCATGTTGGACCGAACGTGATTATCACTTTCTTTGAATAAAAAGTTAATTATGTTTAGACACCAAAAAAATGATGATAGATTCTGAATCACTTGGAATTTTTCGACCAACCCATCAATCTTATCCCGAACCCTAATTCTAATTCTACAACCTTGTGAGTTACGTGATCAATTACATGCTTCTAATACATACCATAAATCTTTCTATTTTTAAGTGAATTTTTCATGATATTAAATGCTGAATTTTTATTCTTTTTAATAAGTTTTTTTTGTATTTATTAGAATTTTTATATATTTTATTAAATAATTAATTTATTTAATTCTAGTTTATTTATAATATTATAAGCTCTTTTACCTAATTTATTTAATTTAATATTTATCAAATAATTTTTTTATTAATTTATTAATAAAAATTATTTTTCTATTTAATATTATTTTCTTTAGAAAGTTATATTTATAAAAAATATTTTATAAAGAAATAGTATTATTATTTCTGTTAAATTATTCAAAATTAGTTTATTTTTATTTATTTAATATAATTTACAATAATTATTATATATTTATAATTATTTTTTATTTAAGTAATTTTATTAGATTTATATCTATTTTTTTAAAAGATTCTTTACTTTTTATTGAATATAAAAATTATTCTTTTTAGTTTTTCTTTATATTAATATATATTATATATTTTTATATAGTTTTTAATATCAAAATATATCTTAAATTAATAATAATTTTAAGCAATTCTATAGAAAATTATTTTAATATCAAAATATTTAATATATATTATAAATAATTATTAAATAATATTTCTTCTATTTTATTTATCTTTATTATTTTTAAAGATTAATCCAATTTTTTCTTATTATATCTAAATAAAATTTCTTTCTTTACTAAGTATATTTTACTTTATTTTTAAATTTTTAATAATTTTTTTGAAGATTTCTTCTGATATAACTAAAGTATTTAAATAAGTAATAAGTTAAAATTTTATTATATTTAAATTAGATAATTAAATAAAAGTAAGTCAGTTAGTTATTTAATAATAATCTTATGTTTTTTTCTTAGAAATATCTAGATAATAGATTTATATTTAAATAAATTTAAATAAATTTAGTTTTTTTAATATTTAATCTTAAAGTTATAATTTTTTAAAATTATACTTTTGCATGTTAATTTTTTAGAAATTTTTGACTTGTTAAATAAATTTTTGTAATTAATTATTAAAATAAAAGAAATATTTATGATAAACTAAAATAAAATCAGATTAAAATAAAATTTATGCTAATTTTTTATATATATCATATGTTATTAATATCATATATTTTATTTATTCAAAATTATTATAATATGTAATTTAGTATTAATTATATATTAGTATATAGATTAGTAATATAAAGTAATTTTTTCTATTACATTTGTTATTTTCATAAATATTAATTATTAATATGTTAAGTTAATTATTAGATAGATTATTAAACTGATTTTATTTTGTAATTATAAGTAAAAATATATAAATTTATCAGAATTATATATTTAACTTACTAAACTATAAAATTTTCTTTTACTTAAATCTTAAAATTATTACTATTTTATTTTTTGTTATCAAAATTACTATTACTTAATACTATTATTTTGTTTTTTATCATCAAAATTATCATCTCTTAATATATTTCTTGTTATTAAAAATTATTATTTTTATTATCTCAGAATATTTTTAAGTAAATAAAAATAAATAAATTATAATTTTATTTCTAATTTATAAAGTTTTAATAAATACTATAATATATTCTGATAAATAAAATATTATTAATAATTAAATAAGCTAATAAAATATTAAGCAAGTGATAATATAATAATTAATAAAGCTATTACTAGTAGATTTAATATTAAATTTATCATATTTTTTTGATCTTTGTTATGCTTTTTATTATTAATTTCTCAGATACTTTATGTTAAATTTTACTTTATAATATTTATTTACTTTCTAATATTTTGTATTATTTTTATTAGTTATATAAAAAAAACTATATTAGATTTTACTTTATAAAATTTATATTATTTTTCAGTATTTTATACTAGATTAAGTTAGTTCTATTAGTTATATAAAAAAAGATTATATCAAAATTAAAATATATAAATAAATATAATTTTACTTATATTATATATATTATAATTTTTATATATTAAATATAAATATAAATATTACATATTAAATAAACTTAAATATAAATATAACTACTATATATCAGATAAATATACTATATAGTTCTTAATTTTTTATTTTCTTCTCTCAAAATAATCAAGCTTCTAAAAATATTAAATATATTTAAGAATTTTAATAATATTTTAAGATATTTTAGATTTAATACTTTTATAATAAAATAAAAATTTCTAATTTATTTTCAAAAAAGTTATTTCAGTTTATAATATAAAATTAAAATAACTCTTTTAAAAAAGTTTTATATTAAAACTACTCACTTTGAGTATTATAAAATATATATAATACTTTTTAAGTAATATATTAATATTACTTAAGATAAAATCAAGATATATATAAGAAATTACTCAATCTGTATTTAAAATACTAGTATTAAAAAAAAAGCTAATTTGATATCTATTATAACTAATAACTCTTTTAAATATATTCAAGTTAATTTAGTTAATTTACTTTCTTTTGTCAAGTATAATAATAAATATAGTTATATTCTTATAATAATTAATATATTTTTATATTATATTTAGATCATTCTGTTTTAAGATAAAAAAGATAATATAATTCATTATAAATTAATTAAAATCTTTATAAGTTTTGATTTATTCTTAAAATTTCAAGCAGATAATAAATTAGAATTTATAATTAATATTTTAAAATATACTTGTAAAATATTCAAAATATAATTTATTTATAATTATGTCTATTATCTGCAAAATTAAGATAAGATTAAGAAATTTAATCAAATACTTAATTGATATCTAATAAAAATATTATAAAATAAAGTTTCTAAAGTTTAGAATTACTAATAAATTAATATTCTTTCTTCTTTTATAATCATCTATAATAAAATATTTTATAAAACTTACAAAAAATTACTTTATAAAATATTTTTTAAATTTAAAATAAGAGAAATTAATATACTAGATAAAATTATATAAGCTTATAATAAAATCATAAAGATTAATAATATATTAAATAAAACTATATAAGTTTATAATAGATCAGATAAAATTATAAAAATTAATAATATGCTAGATAAAACTATATTAATTAATAATATTTTAGATAAAATTATATAAATTGATAATATTCTAGACAAAATCATATAAATTAATAATATTCTGAATAAAATAATATAAATTAATAATACTTTAGATAAAATAATAATATTCTAAATAAAATAATATAATTTAATAAGATTTCAGAATAAGTTAATATTTTTAATATTAAAATTTATATCTTAATTAAAATATAAGAGAAAGAAGATATCTTATATAAAATAGTTATTAAAATAATACAAAAAAATAATAATTAAGTTATTATCTATAAAACTTATATAAGACAGATTAAAAAAATATAAATAGAGATCATGTAAAATGATAAGCTTTATCAAAATAAGATGATAATTTATAAAAGTATTTATTAAAGAAAATTAGCTTTTAAATTTGAAGAAAAGATTATAATTACTTCAAATTATCAGCTAAAGTAATATTTAGATCATAATAAAAGTAATATAAGTATTATAATAAAAGTATTATTTATATAATCTCTAAAATATATAAAAATAATATATCTTAGCTAGTAAAAGAGAACAGTTCTGAATAATTAGTTAATTAGTTTAGTTTGAGCTCTATGAGTTTAGTTCTCAATTCATATTTTAAATAAATTATAGTTAAGAGAATTTTAAGAAATATCTCTTATAGAATAGATCTTAATTAAAAATCTGTTATTTTATTTTATTAATAAACTAATTATATATCTATTTTTGAATTATACTTTGAAACTGAATTATATTCTAGCTAATCAATCTAAAAAATACTATTATTATCTATTTTTAAAAATAATCTTTAATAATTTCTAGTAGAAAAAAATATTCTTATTAATAAAAAATCCTCTGATATTATAATTATTAGTAAAAATATATATTTTTAATGGTTTAAGAATCATATTTATTTCTTAAATCAATACTCATATCAAAAAAGATAATAATATATGAGAAAATTAAAGCTAAAAGAATAATTAAAAGTTGATAACAGATCATAAATAAGTTAATAAAAAGAATATATAATCTATATTAAAGAGTTAAAGAGAGAGAAGATACTAAATAAATAATTATATTTATTAAAAAATTAAGAATTAGTTTAGAATTTATTTTAAGTTAATATTATTTAAGTTTGATTTTAAGTTTTAAGTATTTTTAAGTTTAATTTTAAATTTTATTATAACATGATTTTATTTTATAATTAATTTTATATAAATAATTATTTATTATAATATTATTATAAACTATATTCATGAAGATAGATTTTATCAGAAATATAATTTATAATAAGTTTTGAGAGTAAAAACTGAATTATTTATAAAGATAAAGAAAATTATAATTATTCTAAAGATTTTTTAGTGCCAATACTTATAAATATTGTATTAATACAAGACAAAAATAAAATAAAAACTAAAAAAATTATGATTATGAAAACTAAACTAAGAGTAGATATCAAAAAACTAAAGTAATAAATATTAAAATTAAAAAC